TGCGGGCAGCCTGGGTCTCGGGGAAGACTCGGCCCATGGAGTACCGCGTGGCACAGCTGGAGGCCCTGGGACGTTTCTTGGATGAGAAGAAGGAGGACATCCTGGAGGCCATTGCCTTGGACATGGGCAAGGTGAGAGGGGGCCGGGAACCGGGGAACCCTGTGGCTGCGGGAGCCGAAAAAAAAAGCCGAGGGGCTGCCCACAGCCCTGCCGTTGCGCAGAGGGGTGATGTGATGCCCCAGCAGAGCTTCCCGCCCTGGTGCTCCCTCCCGGTGCTGGGCGCTGCCCTGGGAGCCAGGGGATATGGGTGGAGGCAGCGAAGGGGAGACCGAGCCAGGGCTCACCCCTGCCCCCAGGGTGGATGGAGCGGGGCTGTGGGGAGCGTCCGGACATAACTAGAGATGCCCAAACTCACCAGCCTCAGTTTACCTCTCTTCTGGGCAGGTCCATCCCCAACTCCTGTCACCCTTCTGTGTGCTCCCTGCCTTGGGCTTTCCACCACCCATCATGCCCTCCCCTCCCTCGGTGCTCACCCAGGCTGCAGCTCTCAGAGCCCAGACCCCCCGGCTTTGCATCGTCCCCTGCCTCTTTGCTCCTTCCCTCCCACCAATGTCATGGTCACCAAGGACAGAGGCAGACCCGTCCCCTGCGTCTCCCTAAGTCCTCAAAATTGCTCCGGCCCCCCCAGCCCAAGAGTTCCCCCTTTGGTACAGCTCATTCGCCCGCAGCCAGAGCCTCGTGCACCACACAGGGCTCATCATCTGTTGTTCTCCATCCTAGTTCACAACTTCCCCTTGGACACCCTCCCCATCCTTACCGCAGTCTGGATCGATAGGATCTGCATCATTTTTCCTATTTTTAAGCAGCCAGCTCTTGTGCCGAGAGGGGACCCAGAGTAATGTGTAATGCCCGATCTCGTTAGGGAAGTTGTGCTGCGTTTCACCCCCTTTTCCCATTTGCTTCTTCACCATTCATGCTTCTCCCTTCCCCATCTGCGTTGGGAAGCCTCCAACTCGGGGTTTGGGAAGTGCTGCCCACACGCAGCACCGCTGGCCCTGACTCGATCCTGGGCAAGATGTTCCCTCAGTAGAGGGAAATGGGACCACCATCCCTTCCTCGGCCGGCGGCGAGTGTCCCCGGTCAGGTCTGGCTGGCGCGGTGCTTGCAGCTCGTGTGGTGCCCAGGGCTGTGGCTGGTGTTTGTGTGAAGGTCTTGTCCATCCAACCTTCAGCTTGAGCGAAGTGAAACGGCAGTGGCTGACAACACTCCCACCCAAGGGATAAATCTGAGATGGAAAAAACCTGCCCATGAACCCAAGACAGTGTAATGCCACTGGGGGTTAAAATTTGGGATTTAACAACTTGGTAAGTACAATTATTAACTATTTCACAGGAATACAGTCATGAATTTTTTTTTAATCACATGGTTTCTCCTGCATCTGCCAGGGAAACAAAGCTGGGGGCGGTGGCATGTTGCTGGGGGTTATCCCCAAGCC